GACTACAGGTGCACACCACCATGCCTGGCTAATTTTTTAAAAGTTTTTTTGTAGAGATGGGGGTTTCCTTACGCTGCCCAGGCTAGTCTCACACTCCTGGCCTCAAGTAGATGGTCCACTTCCTGGTTTTCTTAAAAAGAGGATCCTGAACAGAATTTCAGCTCTGAAGGGTAACCTGTCATTCATATCCGTTCTGGGCTGTGATGACTTTGGGTCTGTTTGGGGAGATACAGTTGTTGCTTTTGCACCAAATGGCCCCGATCTCCTAGTCTTTTGGAATCATCCATCTAATTTTTGTTTTTTGAGTCAGAAACTTGTCACCCAAGCTGGAGTGCAGTGGCACCCTCGTGGCCACCGCAGCATTGACCTCGGCTCAGGTGATCCTTCCTCCTCAGCTTTCCAAGAAGCTGGAACTACAGGCACATGCCACCACACCCGGCAAATATTTGGATTTATTGTAGAGACACATTCTCACCAAGTTGCCCAGGCTGGTCTCAAACCCGTGGGCTCAGGCAGTCCTCTCACCTCGGCCTCCCAAAGTGCTGGGATTATAGGCATGAGCCACCTTGCCCAGCCATCCATCTGATTTTTATAGTTATTCTTTCGTTTCTCCCTGTTGTTTTCACTGTGAAACACCTAAACATATTTTGCTATAAAATAGGCAGTTGCCCCAAGCCACCATCTTCTATGTGCCTTCTAAGCTGCTTCTAATGCTCTTGGACTGGGAGATGGAAGGATTAGTCTTGTAAGACTTGTGTGTCAGCAGGCCTAGAGCAGAAGGCCAGGGAAGCTCGCCCAAGTGAAGGGATGGAACGCTGTGATGTTTTTGACTGTGCAGAGGCCTTCTATGTTTTCTCACAGGTCTTTGATTTGGCCTGGTCTAGAGAAATTGACCTCTAGAGAGAGGATGCTAGCATGCATAATTTGGGCATAAGGCCTTTGCCAAGGACAATAACTCAGAAGGAAATAATTCCTGTATTAAGATCATTTGAGGTCAAAGATGCTGAAACATACACCCATACCTCCCCCCACACGTATGCACATGCATGTACACATACATACAGCCATGAGAGACAAAGCCACAAAACAGACTCACCCAGCTCTTCATTTTTATATTTCTACCTCCTAAAAAGTTGTCTGAGAGCAAATAATTAGAATCATAGTCTTCCTGAATTGGAAAGAACTTTCAAAGCCCTTTAGGTATGCTTCCTGTTCGGTAGGAATCTCTTCTGTTCCCTCCTGGACAGATGGGCACTCTATCCCCTTCTTGCCTGGGTCCAGGAATGGGAACTCGGTCCTTTTTGAGATCTGATTTCATTACGGAACTCTGTGACAGGAAGCAACAAGGCTGATCGGCATTTTGGCGCAGACATTAGGTTTCTTGCAGTGTTTGGATGTGGATGTCTTTTGAGGGGTTATGGGATGAGAGCATACCTGGGTGAATGCGGGGCAGGTCCTTCCTGGTGGGGTAGGCATTCCTGGTGTCAATCACCTTAGAAACAGCTGGGCCCTGAGACAAAAACTGAGAGGCCAGTTCAGCCTGGCTGGAGAGGGAACAGTTTCTCTGAGCCTGACTTCTTGGGCTTGAACTTGAGACATCTCGAAGTTTTGAGTGTCGACCTGGGTAGGGGGAGAGCTGATGGGTATTGTCCCAGGGAAGAAGGCGGTCAACGCCTTGTGAAGGACTCAGAGGGAGAGTGGGTGAGCCAATCTTGAGAGCCATATGGCCCAATGTGCACAGTGCTTTCTGTTTATGTCCCGCCTGTGATCCCTGAGCCTTTGGAAGTGTCTGGCCTTAATGCTCTGTCCTGGCCTAGCTGTGTCATGGCATTAAAACAGTTGCAGAGGCTCACTGTCTGTTTCCTAGGCCGTTGGAGGGAGAATGGTGTTCTCTGAGGCACTGTGGGTTGTAGCGATTCTGGAGAGGCTCTCAGAAGCCTGTGAATATTTAGGAATAGGATCTGGGCCTGAGAGGTCTCCCCACTCCTCTCCACATGGTGAGTCACCCATCACTGCCATCCTTTCATTTTTTATTTTTGGAGTTGGAGTCTCACTCTGTCGCCCTGGCTGGGTCTTTCTCTTTATCCTAACTGCGATGGGAAGCCACTGACAGTGCAAGCCCAAGAGGGATAGGATGAAATTAGAATCTTGTGTGTGTGTGTGTGTGTGTGTGTGTGTGTGTGTGTGGTGTGTACACTGGGGTCTCACTCTGTCTCCCAGGCTGGAGTGCACTGCCATGATCACAGCTCACTGCAGACTTGACCTCCTGGATTCAGGTAATCCTTCTGCCTCAGCCTCCTGAGTAGCTTGGACTACAGGCACGCACCACCACGCCTGGCTACTTTTTTTTATTTTTTGTAGAGATGAGGTTTCGTTACGTTGCCTAGGCTGGTCTTGAACTCCTGGGCTCAAGCAATCCATCCTCTCGCCTCAGCCTCCCAAAGTGCTGGGATTACAGGCATGAGCCCGTGCACCTGGCCCTGCCATCCTTTTATTTAAGCAAGCTGCCAGATTTCCTACAAAAGTAATCCCTTACATTGGCCTGAAGTCTGTCTCCCCCTAACTTTTTAGTCCTTTTTCTCAAAAGCACAGAAAACAATCATAACTGTTGACATTCACCAAGTGCTTACTGTGTGCCGGACACTTTACTGGGCATTGTGCTGCATCTGTATCTATGTTATTATCCCATTTTACCGATGAAGGATTGAGGCCAAAGGGGGGTAAAATGACTTGCCTAAGGCCAGACCCCAAATGAGTGACGGGATTTGAACCCCAGCAGTCAGCGGTCAGAGCCCACAGTCTTGAACTCTGAAACACGGCCTGTTTTGTCCCTACGACTGGAATCAGTAGCTTGGGATCTTGCCTCCCGGGCCTCTTGTGGTCCAGGCAGAACCGCACGACGGTTCGGTTCTCTGTGTGATGAAGTAGGGGAGGGAGACGGTTCTCTGCCCTGTTCTTCTGACCAAGGTCTGGGACAATGGAAAGGAGGCGAAGCCCAAGGCCACTTGACCTCTGGCAGCCTGTCTCTCCGTGGCCCCAGGATAGCCTTGGCGGAAGCCTCCGGGGCATCATTTTAGCAGTCTTCCCCCTCGGGGGCTGTATTTTTCCTGTCTGTCCTCAACATTTCCTCAGCCAGAGCGACTGGCTCAGTTCTCCCTTCTGATAAATCTGGTCACCCTAAATATGGGGCTTTGAGCAAACAGGAGCGCCCGGCCCCACGCAGCCCTGGTTTCGAAATACAGATGCACACGGGCTGCTCTTTGGAGGTCTGGTTTCTTTTCCCCACACACAGTGGTTTTAAGTAAGAGGGACAGGATCACGACAGAATCTTGGCAGGGAAAGACGTCAGGAGCAAAGATGCACCTGGGCAGCCTTTGTTTCTCCAAGTTCCCAAACCCTGGCTCTTCGAGAAGCTCTGGGAGGCAAAGAGGCCTTGGGCACGCACACCGGAGAGCACCACGCAGCCAAGCCCCTTGTGGGGATCCGTGTGTCCATGTCAAGCGCTGCGCACAGCCAGCCTCAAGGAAGCCTGGCTGGCTTCTCCAGCCCAGTTTTCCATCTAGCAATGTGGAATTTTGGAAATCCATGGTGCAGAGAAGAGGACCCTGCACCATGGAGCCTGACATAGTCCTCAGATGGGCACAATTTGGCCTACAATATGCTTAAATCTTGCTTTAAATGAGTGCCTGATATTTTGGAACTGAAATATTTCCCCTGATGACCCGAATGTGGGTGTTCCTCTTGAGAAGTCAGGAGATCTGAGACGCTGGTCCCTACTGCTGCCGGACTCCGGGCAGCTGGACACAAGGCTGTGGTCCAAGTCTTCCCACAGCACCCGCTGCCTATGCCAAGACTGCTGACCCTCTCGATTGGGTCATCATCTGTGCCTGGCCCAGACCCCCATTTGCCTTCCTGGGGTGGAGGTTTCCTTGGGTGGGGCTGGCCTGGGTCGTGACCCCCGCTGCTCCCGCCTTCATGTGTGCAACAGACACTGATGGAGATGGTCCCGCTGTGGACCTGTGGGCACGATGAGGAAAACAGCCCCTGCCCGCTGGCTTCCAGCACCGCATTCCGGGAGTTGAGACTGAGGAGGAGGGCGGGGTGAGGAGAGGGGAGGTGGGAGGCCAGAGCCTGCTTCCTGACTTCCAGCCCAACGCTTGCGGGGCTTCCATCTTCCATCGCTCGCCGCCACTCGGGAGCTGCCACCCAGCCTCCGGGAACCCGGGGGAAGAAGCCACTAGCGGGCTTTGTGATGAGATCGTTTCTGCCCGCCTCAAGGCCTCAGTTTCTCCATCTGTAGAATGACCCGGTTGGACTAGAAAATGACGCGGGTCCTCTCTGGCGCTAGAGAGGCAAGACTCCGCGGCCGAGGAATGCCTGGCCCGGCCCTTCCGAGCTCTTCGTCGAGTTCCAAGCAGCCCCCCTCCCTCCTTCCCAGCACGGTCGGGGCGGGCGCCGCAGCCCGGGCCAGGAGGGCCTGGGCTTCCCGCCCGGG